TTGACATCAAGTATAACTTTGTAAGAGACATGGTAGCAAGTGGAGAGATAAATTTACAGTATATTCCTACGCGAAGCATGATAGCTGATCCTTTTGAAAAGACGATATCTAGAGACCTGTTTGAGAAACATGTTATGGCTCTAGGTTTGCGAAGGATATATATTGTAAAATGACTTTAGTATTATAATATGCTCATCATTATTTGACTCTTGAATTATGCTTATATCTCGTATGTATGTGATAAATGTTTTTGTTGATAAAGTGTATCGAACAAGTTGCGAGATTGGCTCTCTCACACGAGCAATCGCCTCTTACGTTAAGAATCGTGAAGAGATGAGACTTTATAGAACATTCGATTATGACTTGTTTTGTAAGCCAGATGCGAGTTTCTCTAAGAAGATGGTTTGAGGATTATTGAAATGAGAAACTCGAGTTAGACACTTGAAGGTGTCTAGACCAAGATCTGTACGATGTTGAATGATTAAAAGAAATAAGAAACACACACCAATATAAGGTGAGAACATCGTAACATGTGTTTCATACCACGTGTGCTAGCGACCAATGGAATAATAGAAGAATGGATCCCTGCTTCTTCATTGTGTGAGATCCCGAAAAGTTATATTAACTTTTATTGAAATACTCTTTGACCTTTTACTGTATCTTGAAGTGCCAATCGATGTTGCTACTTTAGCATAGCACTAATAGCCATGAGCGATTCGGCAATGCAGTGCATGTCTAGGAAAGCATTTGATCTGGAATGAATAGATTCGAGTGAAAAGGGAAGACAACTAAAATTAGCAATAGCTTGTATTTACAAGTCGACCACTACACTTACCATGAGGGTATTGAGTGTAATTGTGGGTACAATGTTATATTTAAACTCTAGTTCACCTCTTCTGAGGATGAGGGATCAAATAACTACTACTGGAGTAGCGAATAACGTCTGGGGTATTGCGAGTAATAAGATCCTCATATTGGTAATGCATCCTTTCCATATGTGATTGGATTTCTACATGGAGCTTTAGTACAACTTTAGTAGTTTGAAATATTATAGCTCTTAATGCTCGCAGGTCGCACGAGCTATTTGTCTGTATAAATTACGTGTGTTATTGACATAAAATTAGTTCGGGTATAGCCCACCATGAGCTACGTGGGAGATGTTGGATATTGAGTTTGGATATTGGGTCGCTCCATGTGGTCTGACCCGACCCATCTAAAAGAGATAAGGTAAAAGGAAGTTACTCAAAAAAAAACCACCATACACAGTTAAATAGTGATGGGGTTAATCAGTTTTTGAATATGGGTTAACTTCTCTTTTATATATATATCACGTAAGTTTCCTTCTTCTAAACAAGATAGAGAAAAACAGAAACTTTCTTCTGCTTCCAAAAAAATTCACACAAGGATAAAAGACACTTAGTTCGTGAAAATTCTAACTTTGTTTCAAAGAGATTCAAAGATCTACTTGGGACAATTCTTTTGGTGGTGAGTTCAACGATCTCCACTGCGACAAAAAGGTACACAACTTGTTGTTCTCACCCCTCATTTTTCCTACAGGAAAGAAAGAACAAACACACATTTGATAGTTGTTACACTTATATTAACGGTTTCTTTCGAGGCTGGCTTCACCATTCCTGGTGGTTACAGTGGTGATGATGGTCCAAATAAAGGCATGGAAATCATATCCAAGAAAGCAGCGTTCAAAGCATTCGCAGTAACAGATACCATTGCCATGATATCTTCCACAGCTGCTGTTTTTCTGAATTACCTTGCAACTTACGATGAAGAGGGCAGAAGGTTGAGTCGTTATGCAATTGCGAGCGTCATTGCCATGGTTTCCATGCTAGCAATGATGATAGCGTTTATGACTGGCTTGTACGTTGTGCTACCTTCTAGAAACCTAGCTATATTTATCTGTGTCATTTGCTCTTTATCGCTTGCCGTCTTTATATTTATTTTGGGTAGGAATTTTTATGACTCAGTTCAAGAGAAAATGAAGAAATATTAATTACTCGAACCTAATGAGTTCTTGTCAAGAAAGTCTGTCTCTTTAGTTTTAAGTTTTTTAGCTGTTTGATTTTTTTGTGAAAGCATTATGTATATCTTCCTTGGTTTATCTAGATTGATTCCCTAAATCCAAACGAAAATTGCTTCTGCCATTTTTTCCTTTCTGGCTTAACTAGTTTGCTAATTGCTTAACATAAGTTTTATTTGACATTATCGGACCACTTCACTACCTATCAAGCTGCTAAGTTTAGTATATTTCATAACACATATATAAGGTCTGTATTATAGTTGTTGGGTTCAACGGAACTTTTTTTATTTTTTTAATTCCAAGTCACAATCTTATTACCACTTGTAAGGCAACAGTTACAATTTGAAGAAGGGGGGAATAGCTTTGCCTTCTTAGAAAGATGTGAATTTGACACAACAAATTCATACAAAAGTTACAATGATTTGAGGCAATCTGACAAAACAAAAAGTAGTTATAAGTTCTAGAATTCATGGTGGCTCATATACTAGATTGCTCGGTCTTATCCTCTTGACTCGGAAAGTTGAAATTTGCTATCTATCTACATTAAGTAACCCTCTAACCTGCCTTGGCAATGTGTCAAAGTAGGTATACATGAATATCTCCTCTAACTGGTGACTTAGAGAGGCCATCTTGTCCGCAACTTGATTTGCTTCTCTAAAGCAATGTTTAGTGACAAGATTCTTATCTTGAACCAACTGTTTTATCTCCTTTACAGTATTTTTGATCCTCCATGGTGTGGACCAAGTACCTTGAATGCAGTTAAGCAGCAGCAAGGAATCAGTCTCACCTACAATCAACCCATAACCTTGTTGGATGCACCATTTTAAACCAAAAAGGAGTGCTTCCGCTTCTGCAAAATTACTGGATCCTTGCCCCAAAGGCATCGCGTATGCCATAATCATCCTACCAACACTATCCCTGACCACCCCACCACCCCACAGTTCCCATTAATACAACTCCCATCACTATTTACCTTAACAAACAATAGTGGTGGTCTAAGCCATTTAACCACAGTGAAGGAATTTTCAAGGAGGGAAATGTCAAATAGTTTACAAATGTCCTCCCATTTACAACCAATAACAATTTTTCTGAAATGAGAGTTAACAATCTGGACAATATTAAAGGTAATGAAACAAATAGATCTATTGATTGATGGCCTCTCCATTTCATACCTGTTGCAGCACCTTGATCTCCACAACTCCCACACAACAATATGAGGAAGAACTTTACAAACAAAGGAAGCTACAGAGTTACCGGCTCTATGGTTCCAGAAATTAGAGAAAAGGTTCCTCAAGGAGGTACTTCTATGTTCAATTCCTACCCTTCCAGCAATGTTTCCCCACAATTGTTGCGCAAACTACACGTGACAAAACAAGTGCTCACAATTTTCCACGCCTGGGCTCATATTTTGTGGTGGACAACAGTTACATTTAGAAGGTAAATTATAGCCAAACCTGGTCAGTCTATCATTCGTTGACAGTATTCCATGTACAGCTCTCCAGGCTAAGAAAGACATCTTGAAGGGAATGGCTTTATGCCATAATTTGGAGTCAAAAGGAGCAAAATCCTTTCTCTGCCTCAAAGAATTCCAAGCTGAAGCCACAGAAAAATTTCCAGAAGTAGATATTGTCCATACTGGATCATCCTCTTCTTGATTGATTGTAATCTTCACAGATGTTACAAGGTTCTTCACAACTTCTGGAGGATGAATTTGTAATCGAGACCAGTCCCATTGCCCATTATTATACACTTCATTGACTCTTGTATTATTGTAGCCCACACCTTCCGCTAGACTTGTGCATAGAGGACCAAAATTAGTTCAATTATCATACCAGAAGCTACAATTTACTCTCCCAATTCTCCATAAAATATTTTGCTCCAATTCATACTTCAGTTTGCACATAGCCTGCCAATTATGGGACTGGCCGACTGACCACTGTCTAAACAGTGGATGGTATGTACTGTATTACTTGGCTCTAACAAACAGAGACCACAATGAATTTGTGGCCCTCATTATCCACCATTGTTTAGCAGTAAAAGCTTTGCATATGGCTTCTAACTTCCTGAAGTTAGCTCCTCCCTCATTATATGGTAGGCACAACTTAGACCAAGTAGTCCAATGGTATCTATCACTATCCTCTTGGCCTGACCAAAAGAACCTAGCAAGATACCTCTCAATTGTAACAATAGAGCCTTTGGTTGGATGAACTACAACAAGTGTATGTATGTTTAGGGCTAGTAGTACATGTATGATAAGTACTGCTCTACCTCCCGTAGATAAGAATTTCATATGCCACCCTCTTATTTTGTTAATCACCTTGCTAACCATGTTTGAGAAAATTGATACCTTCTTTCTACCAGAGTAGATAGGGCACCCAAGATATTGGATTGGTAGTGGTTCATGTCTCATCCCTGTAATTCTCCTTATCCTAGTGATAGATCTTTGAGTTGCAGATGGAGCCAGAGAAAAGCTACATTTATCCTTATTGATTTGTTGTCCCGAAATCTGCTCATAAGTGGATAAAGAGTCTAGGACCTGCTGAAGGGTAGCCTTCCCACCGTTACAAAACAAAATAGCATCATCAATAAAAGTAAGATGACTCACCTGGGGTCCACTATTGTTCATGTAGAAACCTCTATACCTCCTATTTTTCTGAAGATCAATCAATAATTGGGAAAACAGTTCAGCACTCAAGACAAAGAGAGAGGGGAAAAGAGGATCACCTTGTCTTAGTCCCCTCCCGGATTTAAAAAAATCATGCCTACAACCATTAACAATAAGGGTGTACCAATTATTGCTTATATATCTGTGAATAATCTCAATCCATCTCTCAGAGAAGCCCATCTTCCGAAGCATATAACATAAATAGGTCCATGAAACCCGGTCATATACTTTGGCCGCCATATCCAACTTCAACACTACATTATCCCCATCCACATGTTTCCCAATATCATTCACTATCTCCTAAGCCAACAGAATATTTTCTGTAATGGCACTCTCTTTAACAAAACCACTCTGGTTGTGTGAGATGATTCTGGGAAATACTGAGCTTAGCCTAGCATTCAACAGCTTGGCAATAATTTTGCTAGACACGTTACACAAACTAATTGGCCTAATATCAGAGAAAGTTTGAGGAGATTCCACTTTTGGAAGCATCACTAGGAATGTGTGAGTGAAAAACTTTGGCAGTTGAGCACCATTAAAGAAGGCAACTACAACATTAAGGACATCCATAGCAATAATAGGCCATGCACTTTGATAGAATCTGTCTGTGAGCCTGTCTGGCCCGGGGCACTGTCAGGGTCTATCATAAAAAGAGAATTCTTAACCTCATCCATAGTCGGAGCAGCTGTGAGGAAATTATTATCTTCAACAGTGACTGTTCTTCTTACCACCTCTAGAACACTAGAGTCTTGTATGGTAGTTCCCGCACTGAATAAGTTTTGAAAAACATCGACTGCTGCTCCTGCTACCTCTTCAGTACCTTCCATAGTGTTGCCACTCTCATCTCGGATTCTCTGAATATTTAACTTTATTCTTTTATCTTTAATCACGGCATGGAAGAAAACTGTGTTAGCATCACCATCAGTCAACCATTTTACCATAGCCTTTTTCCTCAATATAGAGTCCTGCAACTTCAGGAACCTAGTAAATTCTGCTCTTGCCTTAGATAAGGCCATTCTTGCTTCAGGAGATGGATTATTCAGCATAGTTTCCTCCAAGCTGCTAATGAGAACTTTAAGTCTTTTTGGCTCTTCATAGATATCACCAAAAGCCTGGCTAGACCAGGCGCTTAAGGTAGAGATTACCTTTTTTATCTTCTGGTGGAGGACATATAAGGGGTTGCCTACAAAATCTTTTGACCATGCCTGCTGGACTTTCTCCAAATATTCCTCATGATCCACCCAAATGTTGAGAAATTTAAAATATTTCACATATTCAGAATCAGTTGAAAGAGCCTTGATCAATAATGGAGCATGATCAGAACATGATCCCGATAGATGTGTGACGATTGTGTTCCCAAGAGCATCAAACCATTCAGCATTATACACCAATCTATCTAACTCTCCCAAATAGTATTTGGAGGATCTCTATTGTCACACCACGTGAAATTAGACCCATAAAAGTCGGCATCTTGAAGACCGCAATCAGATAAAGAAGCTAGAAAGTCTAGGCTATCTTCAACTCTGAAAGGTCTTCCTCATCTCTTCTCCTCTTCATATGTAATAACATTAAAATCACCCACCACACCCCAAGGACCAGAAATTCTGTTAGCAGTAGATCGCAGCTCCTCCCAAAGCTCCTCTCTCATGGACTCATCACACTTTGCATAGACAACAGTGCGAAACAGGGGTGTCGTTCTTGAAAGAATGGAAATATGCAAAAGCATCTGTTGTTCTTTGTCTTCAATAACCTCCACAACATATTCACCTGACCAGAAAATCCAAATCTTGTTGGAACAATTTGCATAACAAGATTGGAAGCCCAATACCCTTTTATATTTGTCAATCTTTCTAACATTCACCATTGGTTCTTGTAGGAACACAAGGAATTATGTAATGTTGTTTGAGGATTTTGAGTCTTTCACACGCTCCTTGAGATCCCACCCCCCCTAATATTCCATGATATTGTGCTAATCATGGAAAACATTAGAGGTGGTGGCATTTGGTTTGAAATTGTTGTTTCTTTTGCCTCCCTTCAGGAACATAACAGCTCACCCAACATTTGAGCTTATCATCCCTCTAGGAAACAAGTTGTTGAAGTAAGTAACATTTTGATGTATTAGCCTAGCACTGCCATTTTCATCTAGGGGAAACTCNTTGACGGCATTGATTGTAGGAAGAGCTAAATTATGTAATCCCTCCTTTTCCGGTATTTATAAGGCCCTCATTCAAAGTAGCAAGACTTGAGTTACTTCCCACAGGATCTTCTGGCAATCCATTTTGATCACACTGATCAAGATGATCAGCATGTGTATTCACTGTACATTCTGTAGTAGGGACTTCATGAAATACATGATCCACATCAAGGACTTCTAACTCCTTCTCCTTAGTCTTATTTGCAGCAATCCTAGCCGAGAGCTCTGGATCTAATCCAAACATTCTTTCTGGACTTACAATTGGGGAACCAATATTAGGTTCATTCTCCAATCTGACCCCATCAGGAATGCTTATAGTATTGGCAAATCTTTTCTTCCCTATTGAAATGCACCAAGGAGTTTTGCAAAATCTGGAAATGATATTGAACTTCAGAAAACTTAAATTCCTTCCCTTGTTTCACTTTCCCAACATTATTCTTAACTTTCTGAAATTTGGGCGCTATCTTTTTCTTGGTTTGACTCCTTTCTCTATCAAGTCTTGTGAGCTTTTGATGTGATGTTAGTTTGTGGTCAGCAACGAAATTCTCACTTAGCGTTACCTCCATATTTGTGTCTTCCCCACCCCCATTGTGTGTGACAGTTACAACATTCTGCCCGGACCTCATGTTATATGCTTGATTCCCCCCTTTTATCTGTTGTCTTGTATTTGAGCTTGATTCTTTTGCATTGTGTATACAGCCCACATTTCTTCTGTTATTGTTGGATACTCTGCCATTTCTCTTTGTGACCTTCTGCCACCCTTCTTCCCCATTTAACTGCCCTCTTGAACCAGCACTCAGCTCAACTACCTCCTGGGAGGCCTTAGTAGCTGGCACCTCAAGAGAAGCCACATGATTTTTAGAAATATCAACTTGCATTGGCGCTGGTTCTCTGACATTTCTGCTATGTTGACTAGACCCCGAGCCCTTAAAGAAATTGGATTTCCCTGCCTCATGATTAATAGTTGTAGAATCCCATTTCCTCAACTCTGGATGCTGCACCCTGCATTTAGAATCACTATGCCGCTATACCTTGCAGTGAAAGCAATAAGCAGGGATAGCATCATACTCCACCCTCTGCCTAATTGACTCCACGGTACCATCCTTCGTTCTGATTTCAACAAGAATCTCATTTACTAGAGGCTTAGCCAGGTCAATCTCTACCCTTACCTTAGCAGTAGTAGGTCTTGACTTCGATATTGTAGCTTTATCCATGGACAGAGGCAAGCCTACTGGTTCCACTATCCTGCACAAAGCGGCCCACTCATAGTAGTGCCATGGTAATTCTGGCAGGGTAATCCAAACAGGAGCAAGTGTAGTTTCAGCTTCTGGTTTGAAGGTTTTTGTCCACCTCCGAATTTTCATAGCATCATCACCGAATTGCATGTATTTCCCGGAGGCTGGAATAAACCTTTAAATGATCTTCTCTATAGTCAAAATCAATAAAGATGTGCTTCATATCATATGCTCCAATACGAATTTTCCCTCGTCCTGGTATGGTCCTTCTAAATTCATCTCTAATAAATTCAATTGTTGGTCTAGTTTTGAGGAACCTACCGACAATAGTCCATTTGCAGGTGGTGGCGAGCAAATCATCCTCTTCTTCAGTGAAAACAACAACGGGTTTACCCTGACAAATCTCGAATGGCCTCGGAAGTAAGTGGATTCGATTTTGGCTGGAGGAGGTTGGCTCGTTATCAAGCGCCCCCGCGTATGAATCCTGTTGTGGACATTGAGGCTTGGTCGGCCGTATCTAGCGTGGATGAAGAGAGATTAGCGGGTTTATCTTGCCGGCGCGTGAGGCGCGTTCATTCTGGGGTTTTGCCTCGACTGGAATTTGAATTTGAAATCGTATACAGATTATACCATACATCAGCCTCTGAGATTCAAGGGTATGTCGAGGGCAGTCGGAATCCTTAACTCTTAATTAAAGATTGCATATTGTAATTATTTTATAAGTGATTTAATTATGTACATAATTTTTGTTCTGTCAATACAAAAAACCTAATGCTTCCTAAAGTTATTAGTTGTAATATTTCCGTCCTATAATCCAATTTTCATATCAAGGCATACACTTACATTTGTGCATAATTTTTGTGTTCTGAAAAAAGTTAAATGAAGACTTAACATGAATTCAACAACTACAAAAAATATAGGACAGTTAGAAAGAAAATAGGAGAGTGGAATTAAACAATTTAATTACAATATCTTTTTATGTTCTTGCTAGTCAGCAGACTCCTGATGGGTATTTTTAAAAGAAGATATTGATCATAGTTTAATAATTCAATTTTAGATTTTTTCATACAATAATTGGCTTTCTCTAAGTTCCCTGGCCATAACTTAATTCCAATGGTTCTTCAAGATTCATGGCTCATATTTTATCCCTACCATCTCTTCAGTCGTTTTCTTAGAATAAATAATTAATTTGGAGAATAGAAGATACATAAAAAGAAAGAAAAAGAAACCTTTGTTTTAACGTTCCTGTTGATCCAAAGGCAAGACAAAGCTTTTTAAATATTATGGTGATAATCAACTTTTAGTATATTTCTTGACACAAGTAAAGATCAACCTTTGGGACGTTGAGAAAGTAATAATCTCTTCATCTCATTTTATATGATAGTGTATGATCTCGCATAAAGTTTAAGCAATAAATAAATATTTTTATCACGTATCAAAATTACTTTTAGAATTATTATTTTAAATATGTTGTAACGTTTTTATGATATTTAAGCATATTATAAAGAGTACATATAATAAAATGTATAGAATTAAAGAGTTTCAAAATTTAAAAATATATACTCTGGACTAACTAAAAAGAATGGGGTATCACTTAAAATAATAGAGAGATTAATTTTTTTTGCATGCGTTATATATCTTGTAGGATATTCTATAAACAAGGATCGAAAATGGAAACAAATTTCTGTGTAGGAAAATCATTTCTAACTTCTCTTCTCTTTTGTAAATAAAACTTATAAATACTGCTTTAAAGGTTTGAGTATATCTTTGTTCTTCTACTTTTTCAAAGGATAAAACAAATATTTTTGTTAAATAGTAGAGCACTATTTTTAACGCATTTAATTTAGGAAACCACATAAGAAATTCTCAGGATAACATTAAATTTTGAGACGAATTTCCATTATTTGATTTGAAATAATACCAAGTATTTTACTGTGAATCTTCATTGGAAACAAAAGTTACACCAAATCTAAAAGGGAAAAAATGTGGGTGGGGTTGGAACGTGGGACCAGAAACAAAATTGGGCAGCATAAAGTTGTCGGGTAAAATAAGTGTGCTGTAATGGTTAATGACATAAGCGTAAGGTTAGTTTAGTCAAGAAGTTCAAAATGTTACATATAAGCTACAGTAAGATTCGTTTTTAAGCAATCATATTCTTCCATTTTAACTAAAATGATCAGTTTACCTTTCCAATCCCAAGCAAAGGCTTAAAAAAATAAGGAGTAAGTGTTTGTACTTTTTTTTCGAAACTACCAGTTTACCACTTTCTCCAAGGAATGAGCAAGCTAAAAAGAAAAGATGATATAGTATATTTTAACTTTTTTTTGCCTAAATTTTTTATATCACATTACTTATTATTTAGTTATGTTATGGGGGCCTCAATCATCTCAAGATAGAACTAATCTTATAGCATGTTTGACCGAGCATCTTCCGAGTCAAAAGTGTTTTTTTTTTGTCAAACATATTTTTTTCTAAAATTAAGGTGTTTGGTCAAACTTTTGAAAGGAAAAAAAGTGTGTTTGAGGAAAAGTTAAAACAGTTTTGGAAAACAGAAAAAGGTAGTTTATCTCTAAAAACACTTTATTAAAAAGCACTTTTGAAAAAAATACACTTAAAAATATTTTTTTAAAGTTTGGTCAAACATTAATTGATTGCTCAGAAATATTTTTCAAATTAATTAGTCAAATATAAATTATTTCTGAACAAAAGTACTTTTGAAAAAAATACTTCTCAAAATAAGCGAATTTAAATAAGCGAATTTTTGTAGCTGGGCCAAATGGACTATTAGGCTTTAGACCAAAGCAAGGACAGAACGGCAAATTCTTTTAATCATCCCATATTCAAAATTCATTGTCCAACTAATCAAAATCGATGTAGGCCTATTAAAAGAGAAAGTGTTCCCTACTAGGGATAGATGTAGAGTGTACTATATGGGTTTGACCAAATTCAGTAGCTTTGACTCAGAAGTTATGCATATGTTAAAATTTTCACAAAATTTTAAAATTACTAGCAATTAAGATCGCTGTCCTAGGTTTCGAAAAGTTTAATTTCTAAATTCGCCTTTGTTCATAAGGGTTTCTCTGTTTTTAAAGGTCGAATCCAAAAACTCTGATTAAGGTTGGAGGGATATCATCAATCATACCACATCCTTAATTAAATAGGACCGTAATATTGAACACGATATAATACCTAATATAGGAACTGATATGTGCAGATTTCTTCATTGAAAAGAGACAACAGCTTGCATGTGCTATGGCTAGATTTGATTTGCTTTATCTCTCAAGTTATTATCAATCTATAATTGACCACATTTTTTTCTTTAACTATCTAGTAAGTAATTAATGTTAGTACACCTCCAAAAGGTGGTCTCAATCATAAGTCTGTATTAGCTAAATACCAATTATATATACATCAAGTAATCAACAATTTGATCATTATCTAGTTCTCAAGAATCAGTATCATCCTTAGTGCTAGATCATATCATTTCTGATATAGTAGCACCAACTTGTGCACCAATGAGAAAAATCATCATACTAAAATAATAGTCTGTTTGGCCAAATTTCTCAAGGGATCAAAAGTGATTTTTTTTTTTAAAAGTACTTTTTTTTCTAACTTGATGTGTTTGGCCAAGTTTATTTTGGGGGAAAATGTGCTTTTGGAAAGAAGCGGAAACAGTTTCTGAAAAGCAGAAAAAAATAGTTTTTTTCCAAAAGCAGAAGCAGTTTTGGCTTTTCTTCTTACCAAAAATACCCTTAACAAAATATAGTATATACCAAAATAACCGTTAAACCTAATACTTAAGATATTAATGTATAAATATTTTTTATTATTTTTAGGATAACTTTCTAATAAATAGTGACTTTATGGGTGAATGCTTTTATTTTGTTGAATGATTTTAAATATATTTAACTTATATTAAAAGAATTAAGTACTTTTAAATTTTATTTTCATATTTTACTTAAATAAAATAAAAAGATTTAATTATTGCATGTAATAACAAAATTTTAAGATTATTTATTTACTTATAATATTAACTATTAAGTAAATATATTCATGTCATTATTCGTAATTTGATACTTAAAAGCACTTTCTTAAAAGCTTAGTTAAACACAAATTATTCACTTTTAAAAAAAGTATTTCTCAAAATAAGTTGATTTCTCCAGCTTGGCCAAACAGGTTATAAATATGATTCTTTTACCTTTTAACCGGAAGTTTCAGTTTCGAGTCTAGAGATATCAAAAATTTTGGTACGAATTATTTTTTCTTTAATAAATCTTACGTGATACAAATTCGGATTAATCGGAACTCTTTTACGGATAGAACACCGGGCTAAAAATCAAAAAAGAAGAAGAGAAAACCCATCTTATTTTAAACATAACCCATCTAGATTCTTATTTAGGTATAACGTTTTAGGAGTACTATTTATAAATTGCTTAGTTCTATTTACTTTCTCCCACTGTTTTCTTTTAAGAAAATTATGATCCCCATTTTCATCAATTCGATGTTTTGCTTAAATAAAATCATCAAAGTCAGATTAATAAGCATTTACTATGATATATATTCATGCAAGTATCTGCATCAATTATGCTATTGAATTGTGTGCACATTATATTTCATAACGGTAAACACCTCAAACCAATATGTATAAATAAGTTCATTGGAACTCAATAAATTTAGCAAAAAACACTATATATATATNAATAAATAATAAAATTTTGTATATATATATATAGCATATTTTGAATTTACTCGGCTTCTTTACATATTTACTTTTTTTATATCTCCTTGCTTTTAAACCAATTTTAAAGCACTCGATTGCCGGAAAACCTTAATCGGACTTAACAAATGCCGTTTCAATTTCTCCGGCGACATGACATCACTTCCACCGGAGACTGACGTCCTATCTACATTCGCCGATCTTGATCTCGATCTCACCATCATCATCCTCGATAATTCCTTAATCCTCGTAGTATTGTAGTAGTACTTATTTTCAGCAGTGCTTTTCTCTTTCAATTCTAATCCGTTCACTTTCCCCTCCGCTTCTGCAGTTCTCTTGCTGGACTTAAAGATCCACCAAAACGACGCCGTTTTATTACTCTTCTCGCTCACCAGCGGGTTTCTTCGGTTGCCGGAGTTGATATCTCGCGATTTAATCAATGGAATTCCGACGGATTTTGACCGACAGAACACCGGCTCGCTGTCGCATCCTCCGCCGCCAGCGCCAATTAAGCAAGAACAAGGGCGCATGTTAGCGCAGTGAGGGCAAAGTTTGGAAAGTCGATTGCGGAGGCAAATTGAACATACGCCGGGTCTGCGTTTCTTTGACGGGTGTTTCGGACATTTCCAGATCTCTTCTTCAATGTAGTACGCCATTAATTTTGTTGTCTCTTCTCTTGTTGTACGTTGGCCTGTATATATATAATATTCTGAATTTGTGATATATATATATATATATTTATAGTCAAATTAAGGTGTGCTTAAAAAGGAAGTTACGAACTTAAAAGGGAATGTTGTTGAGCTGTTAAACTAAACGTGGATAAGAGTTAAGAAAACGACGCCTTTTTACTTTCTAAACTTGCAATGCCTAATGCATGCTTAGCCGTCTCATCTTTCTGTAAAGACTTGTGCTACAATTATAATTTAAACAGGTTCAAATATATTCCAGCTAAGGTAAGAAATTTAGGTGACTTTTTCTCATTTGGGCTAAGTTTTGACGAATGAAGCTAATTGGCAATTGTATTTGTGGGATGAGGCTATAGGCCATTTTAGAATTTAAGTTTTATGAGTTCAATTTGTAAAGTTTTTAACATTGAACTTGTATATAGTCAAAATCGAGTTTGCTCTTCGTATGACTAATCGGGATTGGAACATAATAGGACAAGGTTCGAACTCGTGTAATATCAAACCGTGATGCGAGGTCTGAGTGTCGAGCTCGTAACCTAGAGACCGATCGAGATAGGGACTGTCCAAGATCGAGACCGAACAAGATAGAGATCGAGGGAGACCGAGGGAAGCTTATCGAGCCAAAAAATAGAAAGCAGAAATATCCGCAATTGGGCGAGAATCACGGCGGAAATCCCGACTCATATCAAGGAAAGACCAATTAATTAACCTATCATGAGATTCCTTACTGTATTTAGAATTAAATCAAGTGTATGACTTCCCTACTATATAAAGGGGGCCTCATCATTTGTAGAGGAAAGGACACTTTACGCAATAAAAAGCAATACACTGCCTTCTTTCAGCTTTCAATATTTTGTTACTATGTTCATATACTAGCGGAACCTTCACTGGGTTCGAGGGTGACCTAACTCGAGGGCCAAAGTTATACGATTCGTTTGGTTTGCATTTATTTCTTTCTACAATCAATTTCAAAATCAATTTATATGTTTTTTTAGTTTGTGCCAAATTATATCACGTATCCTTAGAACCACGTATAAATTCAATTGTTATCCGTTTTTAGGGTAAACAGTTTGGCTCCCACCGTGGGGCTAAGGATAATAGTGATTGTCTGGTACTAACCCTCGTAACACACTATTCTATACTTGTTCTTGTGAGTATCTTTGATTCCAGGATAAACATGTCGAACTCTCAATCAGCATCCGTACATGTGGACAATGACTTTGGTCACCATGATGAAAATGACAACATAGCAACAGGGGACGGCATACCTCCAATTGGCCTTGATGGAGTTCCGATAGTAGATCCGATCGACGTCAGCTCGCATGTAGCCATTATTGCAAATTTGGCCATCGATCCCGAGAATAGCGTCTGCGGGTATGTTCGATCGACCGCTCAGAGCACACATGGCGGCGAAGAAGGTGGAATCATCCTTCGAGTGATCTTCGAGATGTTGCAGGCTCAACAAGCCGCGATAGCATATCTTCGAAACCAGAACCATGCACCTAGCAGAATCGAGCCCAAGCCGTCCCAAGAAGTTGTTCACAGGGTCGAATCAATGTCAAGGAAATGAAACGGAAATGAACCGGGGACCAATCCCACAATCATGAAGATACTCGAGGAACTAACGAAGCGAGTTGAATCGGGGGAAAAGAAGATCGAAGTAAACGACAAAAAGGTGGAAACTTATAACTCCAGGGTTGATCAGATCCCGGGGGCACCACCAATATTAAAGGGTTTGGATTCTAAAAAGTTCGTACAAAAGCCCTTCCCCCCGAGCGCGGCTCCCAAACCGATCCCAACAAGTTTCGCATGCCCAAAATTCAAGTATAATGGAACGACCGACCCTAACGAGCATGTCACCTCTTGCACGTGTGCGATTAAAGGGAATGATCTAGAGGATGACGAGATCGAATCCGTGTTACTAAAGAAATTCGGGGAAACCTTGTCAAAGGGAGCAATGATATGGTACCATAATTTACCACCTAACTCTATCGATTCTTTTACCATGCTTGCATATTCTTTTGTAAAAGCACATGCCAGAGCCATAAAGGTCGAGACTAGTAAGGCGGACCTTTTCAAGGTATAGCATAAAGATAACGAGATGCTCAGAGCGTTTGTGTCTCGGTTCCAAATAGAACGAATAGATCTACCACCGATCACCGATGATTGGGTCGTTCAAGCTTTCACTCAAGGACTAAATGAATGAAGCTCAGTGGATTCACAACAGTTGAAGCGGAACTTGATTGAGTATCCGGCTGTTACTTGGGCCGATGTACATAATCGATATCAATCGAAGATTAGAGTCAAAGACGACCAGCTGGGTGCTCCTTCCGAGTCTGTTACCAAAAGGGACGTTGATCGAGAACCAAGCTCAAACATGGATTGATACCATCCGTATAATAGAGATCGTAGGGACAATAGACCTGGTCACAACTCCGTACGAGGTGAAAGGAGAAATAATCGAGGTCAAATCTCTCGAAGACTCATGAGCAATAATGGTTTCGACAGGCATACCGGACCTAAGGAAGCACCGCGATTGTCAGAATATAACTTCAATGTTTATGCATCCGCCATCGTATCAGCTATCGAATGCATCAAGGATACGAAATGGCCTCGACCTCTACAAACAGACCCAGCCCAGAGAAATCCCAATCAAGTATGCAAGTATCATGGCACCCATGGCCACAGAACGGAAGATTTCAGACAGTTAAGAGAAGAAGTAGCCCGGTTATTCAATGAAGGGCACCTTCGGGATTTTTTAAGTGATCGGGCCAAGAATCATTTCAAAATAGAGAGTTCAACAGACAAAATGGGCAAGAAGAACCGCAACACGCTATTCAGATGATTGTCGGAGGGATCGATGTTCCCCAAGGGCCAGTGTTAAAAAGTACTAAGGTGTCGATCACAAGGGAGAAGTGATCTTGGGCTCAGGATTACATACCGAAAGGAACCTTATACTTCAACATAGAAGACGCAGAAGGAATCATACAGCCCCATAACGATGCACTCGTAATATATATACTCATGAATAAGACTCAAGTTAAACGTGTGTTAATTGATCCAAGTAGTTCGGCCAACATCATTTGATCGAGGGTCGTAGAACAACTCGGTCTACAAGACCAAGTCGTGCCCGCGGCCCGAGTGCTAAACGGATTCAACATGGCATGTGAAACAACTAAGGGCGAGATAACTTTGCCAGTAAACGTGGTCGGGACCATCCAAGAGATGAAGTTCCATGTGATCGAGGGCAACATGATGTATAACTCCCTGTTCGGGGAGACCATGGATCCACAACATGAGAGCAGTGCCCTCGACCCTTCACCAGGTTCTAAAATTCCCAACACCAGAGGGAATCAAAACAGTCTATGGGGAGCAACCTGTCACAAAGGAAATATTTGCCGTTGACGAAGTGATTCCGATATCGACACTCTCATCGACGAAGGGGTCAAATTCGAAGGGAAACAGGAGACCAAATAGCAACCACAAGCGCCGACCTTGACCCAACTAGAGAAATAGGGGACTGACGAAGATGATGATTATGGAGTCCCTTGATCCTTCATAGTCCCCCATAACTACGACACTACCAAATCAACGGTCAAAGAGCTGGAGCAAATCATACTAATCGAACGTCTGCCCAAATGAAAGGTATACATGGGCATTGGGTTAAATCCCGAGCTCAGGAAAAGCCTTATTCAATTTCTTATAGCTAGCATGGATTGTTTCTCTTGGTACCATCTCGACATGACAGGGATCCCACCGGAAATCACCACCCAAAAACTAAGCTTGGACTCGAAGTTCCATTCGGTGAAGCAGAAAAGAAGACCCCAGACCGAGATCAAGCACACCTTCATCAAAAATGAGGTAACCAAGTTCCTTAAAATAGGGTCCATCTAGGAAGTAAAATACCCCAAATGGTTAGCAGACATAGTGGTAGTTCCTAAAAAAGGAAATAAACTTAGAATGTGTGTAGATTACAAATACCTAAATAAAGCATGCCCCAAAAGAAGGCCACGTAGAGATAAACTCTATCAGCTTGACCTGAGATTGGAGAAATAAATACATAGAGTATTTGAAAACCAGAAAGCTTCCCTCATATCCAAAAGAATCGAGGGCCATGCGCACGAAGGCAACACGATTAACCTTGTTCGAAGACGGAACCTTGTTCAGAAGAATGTTTGATGGTCCACTAGCGATATGTCTGGGACCAGGAGACACCGAGTATGTTCTGAGGGAAATTCACGAGGGCACTTGTGGAAATCACTCTGGTGCCAAATCATTGGTTCAAAAGATAATCAGAGTCGGCTATTACTGGATCGACATGGAAAAAGAAGCGAAAGAGTTTGTTCGAAAATGTGACAAATGCCAAAGGCATGCACCAATGATTCACCAACCTGGGGAACTGCTCCATTCGGTCTTGTCACCATGGCCATTCATGAAGTGGGGAATGGACATCGCTGTCCCTCTTCCATGGGCACCAGGTAAAGCTCAATTTATTTTATTTATGACTGGTTATTTTTCTATGTGGGTTGAAGCACAGGCCTTCGAGAAAATTAGGGAGACGGAAGTCATTGACTTCATTTGGGATCACATCATATGTTGATTCGGGATGTCATCCGAAAATGTGTGTGATAACGAAAAACAGTTCTTCGGCATCAAAGTAACCAAATTTCTCGAGGATCACAAGATCGAACGAAACCTATCAACAACTTATCATCCCAGTGGGAACAGAAAAACCGAATCGACCAACAAAACCATCATCCAAAATCTTAATAAGAGTCTAACTGATGCCAAAGAAAAGTGGAAGGAAATTCTACCCGAAGTTCTTTGGGCATACCACACAACCTCGAAGTCCAGTACCGGGGTTACCTCATTCTCATTAATTTATGGCGCTGAAGCTCTAATACCGGTCGAAGTCGGAGAGCCGAGTATCCGGTTACTATGTGCAACAAAGGAATCAAATGGCGAGGCCAAGAATACGAGCCTAGAACTATTGTATGAAAGGCGTGAAGCCACCCTTGTTCGATTGGCCTCCCAAAAGCAATGGATCGAGAGATACTACAATTGAAGAGCCTATCTTTGATATTTTAACGTCGAGGACTTAGTGCTAAGGAAAGTCACCCTCAATACCCGAAATCGTAATGAAGGGAAATTGAGTCTGAATTGGGAAGGACCGTACCAAATTCTTGAGGTCACCGGAAACGGGTCTTACAAGCTCGAAACAATGAATGGGGAACAACTACCAAGCAATTGGAACATATCTCACCTAAAACGGTACTATTGCTAATGTAAGACCCTTTGCCATTCCTTTTCTATTTCAGATTAACACTTGCAGATTGTCGACAAGAAACAGTGATGGATTTTTCAGCGAACGGCACGAAGTCTTTAGGTCTGAAATCACGTGTTGCACTCTTTTTCTCTCAGACCGATTTTGTCCCAAATGGATTTTTTTTGGCAAGGTTTTTAACGAGGCAACAATGAATTGTGCTAACTTAGAATCAAGCCCGATTACGAATCAGCACCGAAGAGCAATTGAACAATATTCGAGGTTCCTTTACAATCAACCTCGAATACTGGGGGGCTACCTTCGGATATGCACTATCTTCGAACATTAACTTTAGCAAGGAAACTACTTCATAAAGGGAGGGTCTCGATAGATATGATTTATTGTAAGGGCCAAACAGTCAAAACAAGTCGTTCCTACGTAGATCGCTCAAACCCTAACATAAAATATGTACGCATGTATGATTGTTTCGATCGAGAATAAAGAGAAGTATTTTTCTTGCAATCATCTTATGTTTTAAAAACATTTCCTCTTTACACCTCCTTAAAGAGCTTCGTACTTCCGAAAATAACAAGCCCAAGAGAAATACATAACTGGAATGTGAATGACCACCCCCTCACTCGGTGTCTTCCATCCGACTCAAACAGCCCAAGTCATCGGGACTCAGGAGCAAAAGACCTAATAGGCAACTCCCCTGATTTCTAAAGGTCACGGCCACCCCACTCGGGGACTATTATCTCGGGCAAGCCCGGATAAAATGGGAAAACAAGCCCAATGGGTAGCTCCCGAACTAAAAGGCTACGACCAATTTAACACGGCTCGAAGACGTACGAAATCCGTAACAAATATAGGCCTTCGAAAAAGAGAAAATTCTTTCACAGCCGGTTCTAAAGGCTACCCTCGGCAAAGTCTCAAACTTAAGATGTTTTTGGGAAAAAACTTTGGTAACATCGAACCCCAATAACGCCTTAACCCAGAAAGGCAGTAAAGGAAAGGTTTGTTCGAACCCTCGAACACAACCTTATTGTTTCATGTTAAGGGATTATATGAAAAATACAAATATGATAGCCGAAAGGGAAAGAAAAGCCTTATATTTATATACAATAGTTTTTTTTACAAAGGCCAAATCGGCCTAATATGAAAATTTACAACGGCCAAAAATGGCCTCAGAAAAAATGCAAAAGAAAAACAAAAAATATATAAAGTCCTAAGTGGCGTGGTCTTCATCGGAGGTTGCATCTCCATCCTCGGTATTTTCTTCGTCTTCGGATGCACTTGAGCTCTCGGAGTCTTCTTCAGGGAAGGCCTGCCTCCAGACCCTGACTTCCCTTGCTTTGGCATTTTCGATCTCATCCATAATATCGAAGCCCTAGGCATGAACTCCCTCGAGGGCTTCCCTTCGAGCTTGCCATTTTGCATGATCCACCATGCCCTTGGCCTTGATGGCCTTGACCATAAATTGGACCACTTTAGCATCAACTTTTGTGTTGGCCACGGTCACCTCCGATCTGGCCACGACCACCTTCGATCTGGCCACTTTGAGTTCGTTGGCCAAGGTTGCTGATAACGACTAGGTTGGGAATCCAAACTAGAGTAAGAGTTTGAAAAGTAAATGCAGAATCAATAACAATAAGGAATTGAACAACTAGAACTAAAGGGCAGAAAATAAAGGATATGGGAAAATTCAAGGAAAGAATTCCAAGAACTTCCAAGAACGCAAGTTCTATAGCCTTGACAAGATCAAAGCAACAACATCTTGATTTATTGAAGAAATAAAATTCCTTTGCTTAAAAGCAAATCAAAAGAATAGATTCGAATCTTGACCGCTTTACGAGTAACTTGAAACAACAATTAATAACTAGTATTAATCACCTTCTAACAATACCACAAAGGAATCGAAGATATCACAATAAAGAAGTAATCTTACTACCTTGAACTATGAACTAGTAAAGGTTGAAAGATAAATCTCAAAGCACAAGTAACAAAGATTCAAAAGAACTCTCAAAGTATGATATACTTAATCAATAATGAAGTCTCTCAATGAATGAGAAGAACTCCTTGTTTATAGGAGTACTAAGGCATAACAAGTCTTTAAAATTAGGTAGGGTGGCTGCTAAGGCATAAATGTCATTACAATTAGGTAGGGTGGTTGCTAAAGAGTAAGAAAAGTCATTAAAATTAGGTGGGGGACGATCAAATCCCTTTGGGGAAGATTTGGACCTTAAAACTACTAGCTTGGCCATTGGTTTGGACTCCAATTGGGCTCCTTTTGAAACACCCCCATTTGGACCTCTTTTAAGCTCATTTTGAGCCTCTTTGGTAGACTTCAAGGATGGATTTGGTGGCCCAATCTTCCTCCTCTTGGACTTCAATTCGAATCACCAAATAATTGTAAAACATGGATAATTCATCTACTTTGGGCTTGAGCTCTTCCTCTACAATTAAAAGCTTCTTTATTTTTCATTAAAGTCCAGCAACCTTAGTCTGCAACTCTTTAGCTTGAGATCTTGTAAATGGCCTTGGAGCTTCCAAAACTCTATCATTATCCTTGATGCTATCATTCCCCTCTTCTTGAAAAGAATTCATCCCCGAATTCGATCCTACATCAAACAAAGACAAGTCAGCAACATTGAATGTAGCACTTACTTGGAACTCACCAGGAAGGTCCAGCTTGTAAGCATTGTCTCCAATCCTTTCAAGGACATGAAATGGGCCATCTCCTCTACGATGAAACTTTGACTTCCTTTTGGAGTAAAATCTCTCCTTTTTAAAGTGAACCCAAGTTAAATCTCCAGGTTTAAAAATAACTTGTTTTTGACCCTTATTCTTTCTCAAGGCAATTTGCTCATTTTTCTTCTCAATTGCAAGCCTTGTTTGTTCATGAATATTTTTCATCATCTCAGCCTTTGTCCTACCATCAAGATTAACAATATCATTAGTAGGTAATGGTAATAAATCAAGGGGAGTGAAGGGATTAAAACCATAAACAACCTCAAAAGGAGACATACCTGTAGAAGAATGGATTGTTCTATTGTAAGCAAATTCAATCATAGGTAAGTGAGCTTCCTAAAAGTTAATTTACCTTTCAAAACGGTCCTCAACATGTTTCCAAAGGTTCTATTAACTACTTCAGTTTGTCCATCAGTCTGTGGGTGACAAGAAGTGGAAAACAATAATTTAGTGCCTAACTTCCCCCAAAATACACGCCAAAGTGGCTCAAAAACTTAGCATCCCTATCACTAACAATAGTTCTAGGTATACCATGCAATTTGACAACTTCTTTTACAAAAATTTCGGCAACATGGGAAGCATCATTAGTCTTTAAACAAGGAATAAAACGAGCCATTTTGGAGAACCTATCTACCACAACATATATAATATCCTTACTATACCTTGTTCTAGGCAAACCTAACACAAAATTCATAGAAATATCAATCCAAGGTGAAGTAAGAACAGGTAATGGCGTATAAACACCATGTGGTAATACTTTAGACTTAGCTTGTTTACATTCCAAACACTGTGCACACATTCTTTCAACATCGTTTCTCATTCCAGACCAAAATAAATTTTCAGCAAGTATGTCTAGTGTCTTTGGGACTCCAAAGTGACCCATAAGCCCTCCACAATGTGCTTCCCTTACAAATACTTCACGTAAATAGCAATTAGGGATACACAACTTATTTTCCTTAAAGAGAAACCCATCTTGGAGGTTAAACCTCTCAAAAGGACCCAACTTATAATCTACAAAAATCTTGCCAAAATCAACATCATTAGCATAAAGTCCCTTGATTTGATCAAAACCCATTAATTTAGAAGCCAGGTTAGAAACTAAGACATACCTTCTTGAAAGTGCATCCGCAAAAACATTACATAAGGAAAAGTTTCAATGAATTCAACCCACTTAGCATACCTTCTACTAATCTTACCTTGACTCTTCAAGTATTTCAAGGATTCATGGTCAGTTTTAATGACAAACTCTCTTGGCCACAAGTAATGTTGACATGTGGCTAAAGCCTTTACCAAAGCATATAGCTCTTTGTCATAAGTGGAATAGTTCAATGTGGCTCCACTCAACTTCTCACTAAAGTAGTCAATGGGTTTAGAATCTTGCATCAAAATAACACTTATTCCTTTGCCAGAAGCATCACATTCAATTTCAAAAGATTTATAAACATCAGGCAATTGTAACAATGTAGCATAATATAACTTTTCTTTCAACAAGTTAAAAGCATCATCTTGTTCTTTTCCCCATGTAAAAATATTATCCTTTTTAATAACTTCAGTTAAAGGAGAAGCAATGTTGCTAAAGTCTCTCACAAACCTCCTATAAAAACTAGCAAGTCCATGAAAACTTCTAACTTCAGTTACACTCTTAGGTTTAGGCCATTCTTTTATTGCTTTAATTTTCTCCTCATCAACCTCAACTCCTTTAGAACTAACCACAAAACCCAAAAAAATCACACGATCCACACAAAAAGTACACTTTTTAAGATTAGCAAATAAGAGTTTCTTTCCAAGAACTTCAAAAACTTGTTTTAGGTGTTCTACATGCTTTTCTAAAGTGTTAAAAAAGATCAAGATATCATCGAAGTACACCACAACAAATTTTCCATGAAAATCCTTAAAGATATGATTCATTAATCTCGTGAAAGTGCTAGGTGCATTAGTCAAGCCAAAAGGCATAACTAACCACTCAAAAGCCCATATTTGATATTAAAAGCAGTTTTTTGCTCATTTCTAGGATTCATTCGAATCTGATGGTTACCACTTTTCAGATCAATTTTAGAAAAGATTTTGGATCCATGTAATTGATATAACATGTCATCAAGGCGAGGAATATGATGGTGATACTTTACCGTTATCTTGTTGATTGCTCTACAATCCACGCACATCCTCCAAGTTCCATCCTTTTTTGGTACCAATAGGATGGGATCAGAGCAAGGGCTCATGCTCTCTCACACAAAGCCTTTCTCAAGCAACTCATCAACTTGTCTTTGAAGCTCTTTCGTCTCTTCAGGATTACTCCTATAAGTAGGCCTATTTGGAATTTGTGATTCAGGCACAAAATCAATTTGATTCTCAATTCCACGCAAAGATGGCAATACATTAAGAATATCTTCAGGAAAGACATCTTCAAAATCATGCAAAAGAGAAGAAATACTACTTGGCAAAGAAGAAGTTAGTAACTCAGAATTAATCAAAGCTTCTTTGTAAGTAAGTAGTATTATGGGCAACCCCTCTTTTCTTGCATTTAAACACTCCTTGGCTTTTATATAGAAAATCTCTTTTTTTCCTTTCCTTAGCATCTTTCCTCTCACCGAGACTTTCTGTTTTTTCATTCAAACCCCTTTTTATCTCTTCACTCAAATTTCTGCCATCTCTCTCTTTCTCTCGGCCATCTCTCTTTTTTTCTAACTCTTGACCTCCTTTCTTTTCTTTTTCCTCAAGCTAACTTTCTATCCCTCCCCTTGATTTTCCTATTGTTTCCCTTAATCTCTTTTGATCTTCAAACACTTGAGAAGGAGACAAAGGTGCAAGAGTAAATTTTCTGCCATTTAGCTCAAGAGAACATCTATTCTTCTTTCCATCATGAAAAATATTCCTATCATACTGCCAGACACAACCCAGTAAGATATGACAAGCTTGCATAGGGATTATGTCATAAAGAATATCATCCTCATATCTACCAACATTGAATGAAATCATGCATTGTTTGTTTACCTTTGGTTCACCACTATCATTTAACCATTGGATCTTATAGGGAGTAGGGTGTTTTATGCATGCAAGTCCCAATTTTACCACAAAGTATGAACTCACCACATTAGCACAACTACTACTATCAATGATCATAGAACAGGTTTTTCCCTTTATCCCACACCTAGTATGGAATATATTCTCCCTTTGTTATTCACTATTGCTTCCAAAATTGATAGTCATAATCCTCCTAACTACCCCAATAATGTCATCATTAGGTCGTTCTATATCATCATCATTACTCACATATCCATCTTCTTCTCCCTCACTTTTTTCACTCTCATATCCTCCATCTTCTCTAAGAATAATGTTTCTTCTACTTGGACATTCATGCATCATATGTCCCATTCCTTTACATTTATGATATTGAATAGAACTAGAAGGTGCAAAAGGTTTAGGGTTAAAAGTTTTACCTCCCTCTTTGTTCTCAAATTTACCTTTATCCTTGTCTTCTTGAGGTCTAAAAGAACTCTTCATCTCTTGATTCTTGGAGATGGTGTTTGACCGACCTTTCCACGAGCTAGTTTGCTTTCTTTTATTTTGATTTTTTACCTTTACAAACAAATCAACTAACTCGTCTATTGTTACATATTGTTGTAATTCTACTATATCAGCGATTTCCTTATTTAAACCATTTAAAAACCTAGCCATTGTAGCCTCTTCTTCCTCCATACAATTAGCTTGGATCATAGCCATATCCATAGTCTTAAAGTACTCATCCACAGACATGGACCCTTGCCTCAATGTTTGAAAATGTTGTTGTAGCTCCCTTTGAAAGTGTGATGGTACGAATCTCTTCCTCATCACCCTCTTCATCTCAGCCCAAGTAGCAATCGGTGTTTGTCCTTCTTGCAATCTTTCCCTAGTAAGCTTTTTCCACCAAATAGCAGCATAGTCAGAAAACTCAACAATAGCAAGTTTAACCTTCTTACCTTGAGAGTAGTTGTGACAGTCAAAGATGGCTTCAACCTTTCTCTCCCAATCAAGGTACAAGTTTGGATACCTTGTTCCCTTGAAATATGGCATCTTCATCTTTATACTACTTATATTATCATCGTCTACTCTACCTCTTTGTCCCCTCTTATCTCTTCTCACCCTATCAAAATCAATATCATTAAAATAATCTATAGGTTTTTCTTGATTTGCAATGGGATCAAGGGGTACATTTCTCCTAGCTTGGGGTCTAACATTATTTTCCCTTCGAAGTTCAGCTATTGTATCATTTTGCTCAGCAATGGTGTCTCTCATCTCTTGGAGTTACAAATTCCACATTTCGAATTGTTGATGCATAACTTGCAAGGTAAAATCATTCTTTCTTTGATTTCGGCTTCTTAAAAAACCCTTCGTTCATCATCACTACATGTACGTGACATCTTAAATAATTAACTATATCATACAAATTGACTTTTTCCTCAATTGTTCTCACACACACTTTTTCTTTTCTCTCTCTAGAAATAACCTTTGAACAAAATACTTTGTAGATTTATAGTTAAACCCAACTCGTATAAAGTTATTAGTAGTAAAATACAGATTTTTGGGGAACAAATGAAAGAAAAACCAAATCCTAGAACTATTAGGCTCGGTTGAAACAAGACATGAATAAAAAGGAAAGGAATATATATTTAGATTAGAAAGAGTAAGAAAAAATTGAATTTTTGTCTTATCTTTAAAATCCGGGATCCCCTCTTCTTGTTTCCTTTGATAGTTTTTGGAAACAAATTAGATACAAAAGAAAGTTCCTCGAGAGCAAGCAATATATTTTTTAAACTGATTTTCGTTTTTTTTTTTCGCTCTTAGTATTCAAGAAATCCCCAGAATTATCAAGAACGAAACCTTGATAGAACCACTCTGATACCACTTGATAACGACTAGGTCGGGAATCCAAACTAGAGTAAGAGTTTGAAAAGTAAATGCGGAATCAATAACAATAAGGAATTGAATAACTACAACTAAAGGGCAGAAAATAAAGGATATGGAAAAATTCAAGGAAAGAATTCGAAAAACTTCCAAGAATGCTAGTTCTATAGCCTTGACAAGATCAAAGCAACAACGCCTTGATTTATTGAAGAAATCAAACGCCTTTACCTAAAAGCAAATCAAAATAATAGTTTCGGATCTTGACAGCTTTATGAGTAACTTGAGATAACAATTAATAAATAGTATTAATCGTTTTCTAAGAATATCACAAAAGGAATCAAAGATATCACAATAGAGAAGTAATCTTACTACCTTGAACTATGAACTAGTAAAAGTTGAAAGATAAATCTCAAAGAACAAGTAACAAAGGTTCAAAAGAACTCTCAAAGTATGATATACTTAATCAATAATGAAGTCGATCAATGAATGATAAGAACTCCTTATTTATAGAAGTACTAAGGCATAAAAAGTCCTTAAAATTAGGTAGAGTGACTGCTAAGGTATAAAAAGTAATTACAATTAGGTAGGGTGGTTGCTAAGGAGTAAGAAAAGTCATTAAAATTAGGTGGGGGACGATCAAATCCCTTTGGGGCAGATTTGGACCTTAAAACTACTAGTTTTGGCCATTGGTTTGGACTCCAATTGGGCTTCTTTTAAAACACCCCCCTTTGGACCTCTTTTAAGCTCATTTTGAGCCCCTTTGGTGGACTTCAAAGGCTGATTTGGTGGCCTAATCTTCCTCCTCTTGGACTTTAATTTGGATCACAAAATAATTGTAAAACTTGGATAATTCATCTACTTTGGGCTTGAACTCTTCCTCTACAATTAAAAGCTTCTTTATTTGCCATTGAAGTCCAGCAACCTTAGTCTGCAACTCTTTAGCTTGAGATCTTGTAAATGGCCTTAGAGCTTCCAAAACTCTATCCTTGTCCTTGATGCTATCACTTGCCTCATCAAAAACGGCCAAATCCAACTGAGACTGAAGCTCCGATCTTCTCATCCTACACCAAGGCCTTCTCTTTTACAGCTTGGAGCTGGGTCTCGGCCGACTCCAATTGCGCTTGGACGGTTTCCTTCTTCAAGGCTAGGATGTCCATGTTCTTTTTGAATTCTTTCGCATCGGCATGTATCGCATCTGCCTACATCTGGAGCCGTCCGATTTGTTCGAGCCTCTGCCGGACCTGCAAAATCGGATCATTAGTAGTTATCTCTAATTCGTCTTCACTATCGTAAAGCACTCGGAATACCTGCTCGGCCATCTCGGCATTCATATCCTGAGTCATTACTAAATCGGCCTAAAGCTTCTCACTAAGAAGCTTGTAGGTGTCACTTTTCTCATTAAGGCCCCGAACCTCAGCCTCGTGCTCCTTCCATATTCGGAGGAAAGCCTCGTAATGCAACACCTAAGCCTGCAAATAAGGAAGAAGATGTTATAATTATCTATAACTCCAAGGTTTAAAAAACTAATAATGGAGAGACCCTCCAAGTTACCCGATTCAGAGCATGTTGGGACTCATTAAATAGGCAAGCGGCTCCTACCGCATTCATCACGACTTGGTCTTCCCCGGTCACCAAGGATCTAAGGTAGCTAGCAATCCCCACAGGGGGAGAGAAAACCCGGGCATCCTCTGGGACTGAAAGCACTATATTCCGTCTACAGCCGGGTTAATACTTGGGGCCGGGAATCGGTCCACCAGTTTTGGGGTCGATAAAGACCCGGTAGCGCCCGATGATGGTACTTTCTTCGGTACTGGTAAACCACCAAACCCGATGATATACTCTGAGGCAGTGGACTCAAACCCATCCAAGAATCCATAGATATCAATCTCCCCTTGGATTCCCTCGTAAGATCGACCTTACAACATATTGGCTTCACGAATCGTAGCGTCCGAAATCTGAGGAGATCCAAAAATATCAATCATTCCGAGATCGTCCCTCGAGATATCTTCCACTGCTTAGGACAGAGTGGCCTCAACTCTTCCTGGTTCAGGAACTTCGGCCAAAGCTCCCTCATCAACCTCTACCAATTCAGAGGACTTTTGTATCGAAGAACCAGCTCGCACACGGGCCACTAGTTTGGAGTTATCTTTCTCTTCTCCTTCTTCGGACTCGTCCCTTAATCGGTGGATTAAGTCCGAAGGCATAGCACCAGTGTCCCCCTTGGGCTTGCGAGACTTACTTGCCGGTTTTTTCTTTTTCGAGCCCGGGGAACTCGGAGCCCCTTTTCTCCTCTTCTCTTTGGCCTACTTCGGAGCAGGTGGAAGGACTTTTTCGTCACCTGATGGGGGCCTCATTGCAACATCCTTCCCGAGGCCTACAAAGGAAAAAAGGGAGTAAGCAAGAGAAGAAGCCCGAACGATAATCGTTCTAAGAGAGAAACCTACCATGATTACGGACCTCCCATTGACCCTTTGATAACTCCATCCAAGCACGCTCGGAGTATGTTTTCTGCGACACTAAGCCCTCGACCCATTGCTTGAGTTCCGGAATCGGGTCCGGCATCTGGGCCACAGCTGCAACACCAAAAACATAGATGAGGAAAGAAGATAAGAAGTAAAACAACAAAATTAAACATTCAAGGCGACATATTACTCAAGATTCATATTCCATTTCTCAGGAAACGGCATGTCTTCGGTAGGGATCAGGTCCGAAGTCCTTATTCGGACAAATAGGCCCATCAAACCTCGGTCACGAGCCTCATCTATGCTCGAAAATGGGGATTTGTTGGCCCGGTGAACAAGCTTGATCAGACCTGCCCGATAGAGTTGGGGACTGTAAAAGCACATAAGGTGATCGAGGGTGAAAAGACATCCCTCAATTTTGCTTGTGAAAAATCGGAGGAGAATCACTATTCTCCAAAAGGAAGGATGGATCTGGCCAAGGGTCATGGTGTATCTCTTGCAGAAGGCGATGATGACAGGATCTAAGGGACCTAACGTGAAGGGGTAAGTGTAAACACTTAGAAACCCCTCCACGTGGGTAGTAATCGATTCCTCAGGCAATGGGACTACTACACGTTTTTTGTCCCAGTTGTATTCCTCTTTAACTTTGTCAAGGTTCTTTTCGGTGATTGAGCATATCTACCTCGAGACCGGCTCACATCGGCCCAGTACCGAGGAGGCCTTTACGACCTTAAAGTCAGTGACGGTTGGGCACCCTACCGGAATAAATTCCTCAGGGTGGGGTTCCGCTGCAACCTCACCACCGCCGGATCGTGATGTAGAAGGGCCTCATTTTGCGGCACGGTTTTGGAAGTTTTCTCTCATTGATAAACAAGGGAAAAGAGAATTAGGATGGTATGCGATTGTGTAAACATTGTGAAGCAAAGGGATTTTCTGAAGAAGCAAGAGTAGAAAGAGCTTTGAGTGTAAAAGCTTGAATGACAAAAGCTAGGGTTCTTATAGGTTGCTAGCGATGGTTCAGAACCGGTAATGGCCGATCAGCGACTGACATACATTTAATGCCTTGATAACTGAACCGACGGGATGTTTCATCGTATACGTCATAATCGGGCTCCTCGCTGACATTATTACCCATCTAGTCGGAGTTTGGAAATTCATATCATTTCTCGCTATCGTGTTTTCGAGAAACGAGGAGACTATCTGTATACGGTCAAAATCAAGTTTGCCATTCGTATGACTAATCGAGATTGGAACATAATAGGACAAGGTTCGAACTCGTGTAATATCGAACCGTGATGCGAGGTTTGAGTGACGAGCTCGTGACCTAGAGACCGATCGAGATCGGGACCGTCCAAGATTGAGACCGAACAAGATAGAGATCGAGCGAGACCGAGGAAAGCTTATTGAAATATCCGCAATAAGGCGAGAATCATGGCGGAAATCTCGGCGCATATCAAGGAAAGGCCAATTAATTAACCTATCATGAGATTCCTTACTGTATTTAAAATTATATCAAGAGTAGGACTTCCCTACTATATAAAGTGGGTGTGATCATTTGTAGAGGACAAGACACTATACGCAATAAAAAGCAATACACTGCCTTCTTTTAGCTTTCAATATTTTGTTACTCTGTTCATATACTAGCGGAACCTTCACTGGGTTCGAGGGTGACCTAACTCGAGGGCCAAAGCTATACGATTTGTTTGGTTTGCATTTATTTCTTTCTACAGTCAATTTCAAAATCAATTTATATGTTTTCTTAGTTTGTGCCAAATTATATCACGTATCCTTAGAGCGACGTATAAATTCAATTGTTATCTGTTTTTAGAGTAAACAGAACTCATTGTATTTTTAAAGTTATGGATTCATATTGCTATATATTGCAATATTAATAAATTTTTACACATATATTTATGTTCCGCACCAAAA